TATATATATATATATTTATACAATTACGGATACACGTGTATATCCATACGAACACAAGACACACCCACCCGAACACATGGTCCCTCTTTTTCTCCCCACCTCTTGTTTTCGCCCCCCGACCGTAATACTATCTTTATCCCGCGTCCCATCCCTCCCGCGCGACCGAAGCTCGCTCGATTATACGTATATAGGTACACGCAAAACCACGTGCACCCTATAGCCCGACTTTGTTGTTACACCGCAGCCGAGCGAAGGCACGTTGCTGCCATCGCCGAATGACACGATAAGGAGAAAAAGAAATCGCTCGATCGAACGAGTATGGAATAATCGCGATAAAAAAGGAATAGGAAAAAAATAAAGCTCACCGGCGCGAAACGTTTAGCGGCTTTTCCGCGGCAGAGAGAAGCGACGGTTGAGCGAGCCTCCAGTCAAGTTCAACGTTCTCGCGTCGCGCGCGCTATCGCACGTCCACCCCACCGCTGTGTGTGCTAAGAGCGCAGCCGCAGCAGCTCTCGATGAGGAGTAGGAGGTGGATTCAGAGGGCAGTGGCTGCTGCAGCAGCAGCTCATTGACGGAAACGAAAGAAAGAAAAAAAAAAAAAAGAAAGCTCGAGCAAAGCTTGCGCCCGAGAATTCAGCGGTGGTCAATTAAGTATTGCGCATATATATATACAGCGAGGAGTGAGTGTATACCTATATAAAAGTGTCTGTGCGCGCGTGTTCCAGCCAGTAGTGTGACAGTTGTCGGCCGAGCGGGCAAATAGATATTTATGTACAAGGAGGAGAGGGAACAAGGAGAGCCGGCGTGCAGGCGGACTTTTACATCCTACATGCACAGTATACGTTGACTCGAGGCCTTGCAGCTGTTGTCGCATAACACGCTCGTGTAAGACTGCAAGCTCGCAAGTAAGGAGGAGAGGGAATCATCGCCCGATTTTTTCGTGCAACGTGGGTCCGAGTGTCCAAACCGTTGTTACGATCACCCGTGTCTCGTACGCTCACAACGTTTCCGTTGCACCCCCTTCGCAAGGGCCAAAAATCGCGGATGCGGAAAAAAGACGTGTGAAAGCACGCACGACGCTCATCGGTGGTATAGAACAGCTGCTCGTGGAGGGAGAGATAAGCAACCCCCTCGAGTTGGCGTACACGAAGGAGACAGGAGGAAAGAAAGAAAGAAAGAAAGGAAGAAGGAGAAAAAGGAGAGTGCGCTTTGTCTCGGGGGATAGATAGCCGGCGCGTCGTGTACGTAATAGCTGCAGTCCAACGCGGTCGCCTAGACGACGAGGACAACGAGCAGGCGAGGTCGCCCACCGCTCGGAAGCTCGTGTGTTCTACATTGGGCGCGTATAATATGCCGCAAGCGCACGCGCGCAAAGACCATCGGAGAACGACTAAGCCGTGGCCAGCCCAAAAACAGGAAAAATAGGAGGAAAGAAGGGTCACCCCTGCAAATGTATAGGTGCTAGTGTATTGCACACCTATTTGGATCCTGTATACGCTACCCACACCTACCAGCGTATACACATACCCTTATCGATTACTCGCGGAAATAGACGCGTGGGAACGGAACACACCTGGCGGCTGCACCAACGCGCTCTGTACGCCACACTTGCACGCATACTTTTACCCACCTGTATACGTGCAACGGTAGATAGAAAGAGGGAGAGAGAAGCCCGCTGCCCTCGTCGATGTGCACCAGCACACCCTCCTCCCTCTTTCCTCCCTGCTACCTGGGACCACCGCCTGCACTGCCACTGTTGTTGCTACTGCTGTTGGCTTCGTAGTCGTCAATTGGAGGCGCGCGCCAGACACCATCACCAGAGTCTTTCTGTACTTACTTTTACCTACCTACGTACACACCTGTACATCTACATATATACATATATACGTATAAACATATATATATATATATATATATATATACATATATATGAACTTGCTCGTGTGTGCGCCGAGGCATTGCCGCCGCCGTCGCCACCACCACCGCCGCTGCTGCTCCGCGAACCTGACAGGTGCGCCAGTCTGTCGTCCAGTAGGGTACCTACCTGCCTGGCCACAGTAGTACCTGCCGCGCGCGAGCCGACAGCACACACCAGCAGCAGCACTCGATCGGTGGATACGTAAACCACTTGCGCGTGTACGTAAAAGTCGAACGGTGCTCCGAGGCATGCGCTTGAATCAGTAGAATCAGCAAAGGCAGCGATAATAGTAGATAGTGTCCAAGAGCAGTACGGACGGACGGTGTACCTAGAGGAGGGGAAGTTGGAGCAGCAAAGGAGGAGAGCGAAATAGAGGGGAGGCGTGCGCGAATCCGCCACGGCGGCGTCGTCGTCGTTGTCGTCGTCGTCATCGCGAGCAGGAGGTGGAGGACTGTGGAGAAGGTGGAGGTTGCCGCCGCCGCTGCTGCTGCCACCGCTCGCGGAGGTGGAGAAAGAGGAGGAGAAAAAAACGACAACCCGCTGGTGGTGGTGGTGCTGCTGGTGCTGCTACTACCACCGTTGCTGGTGCATCAGGAGCGGTAGCCAGACTAGCGCGCGCACAGTGTCGGCTGTGCGAGGGAACCGTGTGCGCGAGAGAGCGCCTGCAGCAGCTTAGGGGGCCCCCCGGCAAGCCTGAGCAGCTCTGGAGCTCGAGGAGCAGCAGCAGCAGCTACGGCTACGACTGGAGCAGCAGCAGCACCAAGAACAGGCGGCCGCGGCGGCCGCTGCTGCAGCAGCAGCAGCAGCAGCAGCAGCTCACCAGCAGGCGGCTCTCATTTACCGTAGGCGGCCCTGGCCGGCCACCCATCATCACCATCACCACCAGTCTGCAGCTATCAGCGCCGCAATCGCTAGCTCAGCGAACGCTCATCAGCTCCTGGCCGGACACCCTTACCTCCAGAGCTTGCAGCGCCAACACCAGTACCATCAACAACAACAACAACAGCAACAACAGCAACAGCAATTAAACTCGGCGATTGCAGCGGCAAACATTGGTAGCCCTGGTGGTCCGGGTGGCAGCGCTCTGATCCAACAGCATCACCTGCAGCAGCTCGGAGGTGGGGAGCTGGATAGTAACGCGCACCAGAGGTTGACGGCGCGCTCGGTCCAAGCGATCTTGGCGGCGGCGGCGGCAGGCCGAGCCGTCCTGGAGCCCGGCAGTGGGCCGGGTATCCTGCCGACGGCAGCCACCATATCGGCAGCGAGTGCACTGCCGATCGCCCCGAGCTCGCCCCTTCAGGCTTGCAGGGGCGGTAGCTTCGCAGCCGGCGCGAGCTTCGCCGCGACGAGCGTAGCGACGACCATAGCGCCTCCGGCGCTCAAACGACCCAGGCGGGACACCTCTGTTTGTAGTCCAGAGGAGGCCACCGTCCTCGCCGCCGCCGCCGTCCCAGCTACCTCCTCCTCGTCGTCGTCGTCCTCGTCGCCGCCTCCGGCCAGCACCGCGGTTGTCGCCGGTCAGCACCATCACCACCACCACCATCACCTGCATCACCAGCAGCTACTTCAACTGGCAACCTCCAATAGTAACAACATCAACAATAACAACAACGGTAGTAGCAGCACCCCGGTGACAGTAGTCGCTCAGAGTAACGGTGCAGCGGCTGCACCGCCCGTGCCCTCCTGTCCCTCCGAGCAGCAGCAAGCTACGGCAGCCGGCTGCATTATGGAAGCACCGCTTTCGCAGAGCATGGACTCGGTCAACACCGTGGCCACCTGCGAGGATGAGGTTAGTAACTTTTTTTTATTTACCCCCTTCCCTTATTTTTTTTTTTAATTTTACTCTATCGAGGGCCCGTAAAATTTCATTTTTTTCGAGAGCTTTCACCCTCACCCCTTTATTCCCAGCTCCACGTTGGTACTCCTTTGAGTTCCCATTAATGCCGTGCTCTACCATTCAGTGTAATTAGAGTGCCGACGTCGATAATTATTGCGCGAAAGGGGATACACACGTTTACTTTACACGGGTATAATATCTACTTCACGGGGCAGTGTGCTATACGTGTTCTTGAGAACCGTGTAACCCACAACTATCGAACGTCACTGTTATAACATATACATACATATGTGCGTACACACCATTGGTTATATAAACGGATCGAAATTCAAAAGGGCACAGGGTGTACGTGTATATGTATATTTGGATGGATGATATCCAATGCGCGTGTTAGTGCTATCTAGTCTCGAAATCGATCGCTCCCCCGATGCCATGCTACATGTATGTCTCTTTTCGATGGTCGATGGGCGCATCTGTTGTGTTTGGGAGCGCGTACGTGAAATAATTATTTAGTAACACCTTTCAAAATACCAGTGGTTCTTTCACCCTCGTTGAGTCATCCGGGCGTTGATTCCAATGACGATGGGAGTGATGGGGGGGGGGCGGGGGGAGGCAAGGAAGAACACGAGCACATCAGTGGTATATGATGACTCGGCAAATGTGATTCCGACCCTTCTCAACTTTATATACACTCGTGTATTAGCTTCGTATGCTCGCGCGCCCACATATAGCTACAAATTATCACGTGGATGATGGAAGGAGTCGTTGGGAACATTTATACATTTATGTCGTCGCAACTCCCTCTGTGTGTGTGTGTGTGTGTGTGTCTATAGGGAGTATGGTACTACTTTCTCCCTGTATAACGCGTGACCTCTTCGCGCGCTAGTTGAGCTGGTGAAAGTGCGATAAGCGTGTACTAATAATAATAACAATCATAAGAGTAATATTTGTCGAGCAATTTCTCCGTGTGTATGCATTTTTTGATGTGATAGGCGAAACGCGAGAAAAAAATCAGTCAAATTATCATGTACGCCTCCTCGCAATGGAAACTAGGGAAATAAAAGAATAATCTAGCGATTGCGATACGTTGACAAAGCGAATCAACTCGAGAAGGGTAACGCTAATCGCATACGTGCAGGTGTATAATAATATACATGGGAGAGCGTGAATTTTACCGAAAGTCGACCCTACCATGGAAAATAATGTATATCGGGGGATGAGAAAAATAGGTTAAAAGGCTGGTACGTATACCGCGCTCTTCGACCCCCCTCTCCCCACTGACTTGGATTACGAAAATTCAACGTCGACTCACGTACACTCACGCGAGCGCACGAGCACGCGTGCGAGGGTTGCATATAGATGTATACACCTATCTACTTTGACGATCCGAAAACTTTATCCTCCTCGCCGTGGGTGAGCTTTCATCGATCTACACGTGTGTGTTCTTAAATACACCTTTGTCGGGCATTATTGACGTGTAACCTATAGCGCGTCATGGAACCCACACTTTGCGGCTATTTTCGAGCGTAGCTTCATTTTTTTCTTTTTTTCCATCTAATCTAACGGTCGCTGCACGTACCATCGGTCGACTGCTGATTTTAATCGCACAAAGGAGTATTTCAGCGCAAAAAGTTCAACGACTCGAAAACGCACTTATCTCGTTCTCCTCCAAATCGCACGAGTATGGACAACGAGCGCAGCAATGCACCCAGCAGTTGTCGGCCAAAACAGTTTCATTCGTGCTCCAGTTAACCCTAAGAACCAACAGTCTCTTTTTAAATTCCAATTAGTGGTTCAAAAAATAACGCGCTTTCTCTCGCCTAGGGGTGGAACGTACTTTGGATTTTTTTTTTTTTTTTTCTTTTTTTACGGAGAGAGCGGGTGTTTGGCCGAAGAAAGAAGTTGCAAATTTCGTACGTTGGCACCCCGGATAATTAGTGGAATTTGGCGCAGCTTTGAATTACTCGGGCACAAGTTGCTTTGGCTCGCGAGTAGCGTTTCGACGCTGAAAGTTGGTCGGGATACCTGATTTCAAACGCTAAACGGAAACAACTCCTTTCGGTGTGAAACGCCGAGCTTTTTACGTTCCAGTGTAGTTTTTTAATCTAGTGGGAAACTCAAAGTTATGTGCATTCAGCTCTTTGAAATTACACGATTTGCTTTGGAAAATTTGGTGCGCGGCCGCGATGAATAATTGAAAATCATCGATCGCCACGCAGGTGCCGCCGAGTGAAATTAACTGATGTCTAACCTACGTTCGATTGTACTCCACTTACTTGTTTTCCGCTACGCATTGACCGTTTGTTTGATCAATTTAATTTCCCAAAATTTCATTTGGTGGTTAACGTCAATCAGACAATTTTTGTGTTTTTTCGTACCAAACATTGCGCACCAAAAATCTACGTTTAAATAACGAGTCAACAACTGTCGCTTACGATTAGCATAAATGAAACATTCAACCTCCCCCTCGCGTGTACATTGAAATTGATTGATACTTCCGTCCACCGCGACCCCAAAATATCCATTCGCATAACAAATCGCTTCGTCATCTCATCCTTTCGATCATAATTTTTTTCCACCCACAGTCGTACGAGAAGTTTAAATGGCATCGATCGGGTGCCAGTTTTCCCGCTGAATGCACAAGTTAGAACTCGACCGTCTTGAGCAAGCGAAAAAAAATTTTCTTTCTCAGAAAGCGTTCCAGCAACGTTCAACGAAACGTTGCTTGATAATTTCGAAAAATGGAAAAGGTGGTGGATATTTTTCGCACAATACACGAGCAGTCGAGAGATAAATCCTCGGGAGGGAGATTACATTGTTGGCACACGTGCTAATTATTACGGAACGATCAGATTACACGGGCACACGAAGATTTACCCGATTCGCGTATGTATCAAGATGTTTCGCGGTACTGTACGTTCCAGGCACTTGCAAGTCGTATGTACCGCTCCTTTAATTACGATTAGCGATTGCATCGATGACTGGGAGATAAAATTACATTTATCAACTTTTTTTCCGTTGCTCTCTACTCCATTACTATTACCAATATGGAAAACTTACGGAGTTGGTTGTAAATTGGTTGCCTGTACTTACACCACACGCGAAAATACAAAAAGTATAAGAAAAAAACACAATATCATGAATGATGGTGAACATCATATGTTAGCATATTTAACTTGGGGCACCTTTGGCCAAGACTTCTGCTGTCTCCAGTAGCGCTGAGCTTGACTGTGCCAAACTAAGTATATTTGACTGTTTATCCGACTTGCCGTGAATAATAAATAATTTTCTGGACGATATTGAGTACCGTAAACATTTTTTTAACTCTTTTCTAGCCCAAAAACACCCATGTTTTTTTTTATTCTCTCGTGAGTAACGGCCAATTTTGGCCATGTAACGTAGAACCAATCTCGAAACATCAGTCGAAAAACCTCCTGAAGAAAAGCGAACGGCGATTAACTCGAAACACCGCATAAACTAATTTTGCACGAGGCGCGCAAATGCAGCACTCACAGAACAACAATTTATTGGCAATGAGAAAATGTAACGCGTACAACTACAAAAGGCTTGCTCGGCATTTTGAAACGTGTATTACGAGCAAACAGTCCGTTCGAATAAGCTCGAAACGGAATAACAATCCTTGCAAAAGTAATGTAAATCGAGGTCGTGACCTGGAAGTCGTTGAAAAAAATATTTGGATTCGGTTTTTTTTTTGTATGGTCTTGTATGAGTTGATCCCTGAAAAAAACGTCCAGGCCTAAGAGTTCAAAATTGTTTATTACACCCCGGGAAATTTTTTTTTTTTTTTTTTAAAGGTTCTTTGGACTTGACAAACAAAAAAGGTCTCTTTACAGTCAATACTTTCCGAGATAACAATTATTTAAAGTTCAAAAAAATGCGAAAACGGCCATTTTCATTCAAGAAAAACAATACGCAAAACCATCAAAATGTTAATGTTGCCAAAGTTCTTCAATATCAAATGTTTTTTTTCAACGAATTCCAGACTACGACCTATGGACTACGTGCACCCTCAAGAGAGAGAATCACGCCTCTCGCTTTCAAAACACATAACAGTGTACAGCCTAACGAGCAATCAACGCTTCCGCCAATAAAAAGGAATTCTTCGTAACAACGAAACACACACACACACACACACACACACACACACACACACACACACACACACACACACACACACATCGATAATAGAGACCTCTAATTCCCTACTCTGTTTTTTTGCCCTTCAAAAGAGAATAAAAGAGTCGATAGCTGGTGCACGTACTACCAATACGTATATAAAATATATGGGGTATGTATAAGCCATCAGGTGTCCATATACAATACACATGTACATGTACAATATACTCTTGGATCAAAAGGCGCTTGCCATAATATTTTACGGCCACACATATGCGTGGGCACGTACACATTGCAAAGGGTTCGTATCCATACCCTCGTTCTCTCATTGTCGCGCCTTTTGCTTTCCCCCCACATGCCCCATTGACGCACCCCCTACCCCTTTCTCACCTCTTACCTCTTGCACTCGTACACACCTCCTCGTCTTCCGTATACATCAATTTACCGGATTACGCACGAGTTAGTTATATACGCGCGATAAATATATGCACATCATTCACACCTATAAATATATATATATATATGTATACGCGAGTTAAAAAATGTAGATAAAGCAATACGATGCTCATGGCGATTTGTCAGACCTAGTGGCACATTTGTTTCCTGGAGCGCATAATTAAACGTCACAATGGAGAAGTGCGCGCGAGATGCGCGTCGGGGCAGGGGAAGGAAAAGGAGGGTTCGAGAGGTAATCGTCCGCCCGCCCGTTTGCCGCTCCCTCGTTAGGTACTTTGGGAGTGCTGGCGGTGCTCTCTCCTCTCCTTCTTCGTGCTATTAGACGCGGATATTATTCGCGCGCGGACCTATGTGTATAC